GCAGGAATGAAAAATGGTAAACTTGCTTTATTTGTTTTGCATGATGAATCAAATACTCTTGTGTCTTCGGATAGGCACGCTCTTGTTGGGAAGTTTATATTTGGGCATCCTAAGTTTGAGTTGATCCGTAGGGAATTTGTTGATATGAAACCTATGGGGTCCTGGAAAATTGGCCTGCTAGATGGCCGCCATATTCTTATTCAATTGGCTAATGATGAGGACTTTACACGATTGTTCTCTCGTAGTTTTATTAAAATAGATTTATTAAAATAGATGGTGAATAGATGGTGTCCCAATGAAAATCTTGAAGTGGACTAAGGATTTCGATCCTAAGGAGGAACCTCCTATGATCCCGGTCTGGGTGCGCTTTCTGAGGTTAAAGTTTCATTTGTTCAATCATAAGATTTTATTCTCTCTTGCGGCTGTGTATGGGAAACCATTAAAGATGGATGGACCCACATATCTTTTAAACAGACCTTCTGAGGATCGTGTTTTGGTTGAGCGAGATATTACTCAACCCTTTTGTGATGAGATCTGGATTGGGTTAGAATTGAAAGGGTACTGGCAAAAAGTGGTATTAGGAAAACATTCCCCTTACTATTCACATTGTTGAATGTTTGGTCATTTTCCTACGCAATGTTATAGGTTACATTCTCACTTAAAAAAAAACTCATCTCCTCATTTCACAACTTTTGGGCAACCTGTTGGGCCAATTGAGGCAACAAAGCCTAATGTAGTTGTAAGGGTCAATCAGCATTCCCTCGAGGAGCCTTCTATTACGTTCATTGATAATGTTCCTCTTATCCCGAACCAAGATAGGAACCCCATTGTTGAAAATTCTAATGAAAATTTTGACACCACTAATGCTCCTCTTGTGGACCCCTTAGTTGATAATACTCGAGTTAGTGATATTGCTCTCCCACGGCAGGATAGTCTGCAGGAAGTCCTCACTCCTAAATATTCTTCATCCATTTCTTTGGTAAGGGATATCCCTCAAAACGTGCAGGCTCCTTTGCGGTCCGAAGTGCATGAAGGGGACATTTTGGCTGCCACTAATGTCCTTCAAGAGGAATGGCTGGTTCAAAAAGCTAATAGAAAGAAGTTTAAAAGGAAAAATAAACTTTTGCATCTCAATATGGATAATATCATTACTGATGGGAAGTTCCTTTCTGAAGGAGAACAGATCACCACCCTTCCTAGATCTTCAAGAAGGGGTAGAAAGAGATTCCATGATTAACATTATGGTATGGAATATTAGGGGAGTGGCGGACCCTTCCTCCCTTAATAGACTCAAGCACCTGTGTAGGGTTCATAATTTAGCTATCTTTGCTCTTTTGGAACCGCTTGTCTCTCTTAATAAAGAACACATTTTTCATAAATTTAAGCGTTATAATCATTTTTGTAACACTAACAACAAGATTTAGATTTTTTGGAAAGCCAATATGGATCTCAAGATTATTCAGAATGATGACCAATTTGTTTTGACTTATTTTAAATTGGACTCTTTCTTTTCTTGGGCCACTTGTATTTATGCCAGTACTGTGATTCATAAGAGATATCAACTTTGGGATAAGATTGCGATTATGGGTGATACTATTAAAGACACTTGGGGGAGTGTGGTGAGCGGGCGGGGGGACTTTAATATGATTATGAGTGCTACTGAAAGGAGGGGAGGTAGAGGGGGGTAGAGGGGATGATTTCTCTCTTATGAATCAGTTTAATGACTACATTGATGAGGCGGGTCTTTTTTATCCTGGTTTCTTGGGTCCCCCTTTCACTTGGAGGAGGGGTACTCTTTTTCAACGTTTGGATTGTTTTTTCGGAAATCAACATTTCCTCAATTATTTCCCTGTTTCTAAAGTGCAACATCTCAATCATGTTGGGTCTGATCACAATCCTATTCTACTCTCTCTTGCTTTTACTTCCAGACCTACTACTTATCATTTCAAATTTTTGACTATTTGGACTAATCACGAGATCTTCCTAAGCACTGTTAAGCGGGCTTGGAAGATCGATGTTTTTGGTAACCCTTGGTTTGTTCTGTGGCAACTCCATAAGCAGGTTGTGGTGACTCTACGTAAGTGGAACTTGACTTCCTTCCGCAACATTCATAGTAGGGTCAAGGAGGCTCAGATGGTGGTCGATAATTTGGAGGACCAATTTGTCTGCTCTCCTCATCATGCCTCTGCTCTAGCTCAAGCTCATGTCACCCTTCTCAATGAATTTTTTTTTGGAAGAGGATTTTTCACAAAAAAAAGCTAATGATACTTATTTTACTAGCGGTGATCGTAATACTAAATTTTTTCATGTGTCTATTAAGCATAAAAGGAATTTGAGCACTATTCTTCAGATCCGAACTACGGAAGGGAGACTCATTACTGATAAGGATGAGATTGGCATGAATGCTATCGATTATTTTAAAAATTTATTCCAAGCTACCTCGCAGGTAACCCCTATTGTCTCTGACTTCTTTAATGGGGATCGAGACTATATCTCCAACATGGAACTCTCTAATATTTCTACGGAACAGGAAATATTTTTGTTGTTTAAGGAGATTAATGTTAACAAGTCTCCTGGTCCTAATGGATTTACTGTCGCTTTCTATGTTGCTTGTTGGGAGATAGTTAAAAAAGAGGTGATGCAAGCTATTCAGAGTTTCTTTAGAGGGGTGGACCTGGGGAAATATTTTACCTCCTCTCTTATTGTGCTTATTCCTAAGGGCAATGACAAATCTAGATGGGATAAGTTTAAACCTATTTCCTTAACTTCTGTGATCTCCAAAGTCATTAGTAAATTGTTAGTGGCTCGTTTACAACCTGTGTTGAATAATATTATATCGTCTCAACAATCTGCTTTTGCTAGAGGTAGGGAGATCACCGACAACATTCTCCTTGCTCAAGAATTACTAGAGGACCTGGATAGAAAATGCCGAAATGTCGAGGTGGTAACATGGTTATTAAACTTGATATTAAGAAGGCATACGACACCATCATTTGGGATTTTATATTAAACATCCTTCGGGCTCAGGGTTTTCAAAATAACTTTTTCTCTTTACTTCGTAGATGGTTGGAGAATAATTTCTACTTTGTTCTTGTTAATGGGGAATCTTATGGTTTTTCGTCTACCTCAAGGGGTATTAAGCAAGGTGACCCTCTATCCCCTACTATGTTTATTTTAGCTTTTGATTACTTCTCTTGTTTAGTTAACCGTATGCAGATGAATAAGCCTTACACTCAATTTTCACATAAATCGTCCATTATGATTAGTCACTTGGCTTATGCAGATGACGCCATTCTTTTTAATAATGTCAGTAAACCTGATATTAAATCTCTCATGCAAATCCTTGATACTTTTCAGGACACCTCGGGTCTTTCTTTTAGTCAAGATAAGTGCAATCTTTATTTTGGTAAGTCCGTTCAACCCTCTCTTATTAATTAATTAATTGGAGTACTAATTATACTGGTTTTCATGATGCCTCTTTGCCCCTTAAATACTTGGGTATCAATCTGATTTGGGGTCGTCGTAAACAAGTTCAATTAGATGATGTTGTTGATAAGATTAAGCATAAATTAATGATTGGAGGAAAAGTTTTTATCTAATGGGGGTCGTATCACCCTCCTTAGAAGTTTTTTGTTGAGTATTCCTCTTTACACGCTTCAGATTATAAATCTCAAGAAAAGATCTCAAATTTTTCTTCACAGAATTTTTAATTGTTTCCTTTGGTCGGACACTCATGCTGCTAAACATTGGGCTACTTTTTCTAAGGTTTCTAAACATAACTCTGCTGGTCGTCTTGGCTTTAAAAGTTTGCATCAAATTTCTTATATCAGCATGTGTAAATTGTGGTTTAAGTTTCGGGCTAATACTTCTTTATGGGCTCGCTTCATGCATAATAAACATTGCAAAGTTTCTAATCCATCTACTGTTCATTGGAAAGTGGGGGATTACAAGTTGTGGAAGTCCAGTCCATTCTAAAAGCTCGCTTCGTTGCTAGCAAATTTATCTTTTGGGACATTGGTGAAGGCAAGATTTCTTTTTGGCAAGATCAGTGGGGTTTGGGGGATCACAATAATTTTGCAATTACTCCTCATAACAACAATCTTCTTATCTCGGATGTGTGGATTAATGAAAATTGGGATGTTCCTAAATTGATTTCTTATGTTGGGGATAAAGCTACTCTTGTAGCTAAGATCCCTATAAAGAGGGAAACTAAAGACACCCTGCTTTGGAAAAATTCTACTAATATCTCTCCTTCTAAAATGCTTTATGCAAATCTCTATAGCCTTCATAAATGGTGATGGGGGAAAGTTATTTGGAATAATTTCTTTACTCCATCCATTTCCTTCTTCCTGTGGTAATTTCTTTATAATATGCTCCCTCTGGATGATATTTTGAAACTTAAGGGGATTAAATTGGTGTCTCGATGTCATTTATGTAATAGGGAGGAGGAAACTGCGGCTCATCTATTTTTTCAATGTCCTTACGCTAAAGAGGTGTGGCATGGTTTGGGAAAACATTTTCACATAAATTGGTATGATTGAATTGATCTTCTCGATTTTCTCTGAATTTAGAGATCTACCAATATTATGGACTCTAAATTGGCTTGTTTTCCTTTGTTGGTTCTTTGGTTTATTTGGGTGGCTAGGAATGACGTTAAATACCAGAATTTGAGACAGTTTCCTTCTATCTCAGCTTCTCTCATTCTAGCTTACTTTATCCAGTCCTGCTGATTGTCATGTGTGAATGATGTTTTGCTCCATCCTAGGGTGGGTATGATGGCCAGTCTTATTAAATGGCAACCTCCTCCTTTCGAATGGATTAAAGTCAATTCTAATGGCAGCTGGGAGTCCGCGGCGGCTGGGGCTAGCGGGGTTTTTCATGATTACCTTGGGAAATGCCTCTGTTTCTTTACTTCTCTGATTGTGGCGTCCTCCCCTTTGGAAGCTGAATACTGGGGGTTCCTTTTGTCTATTCAGGTGGCCATTTCTTGTAAGTTTTTCAATTTGTCACTCGAGACAGATTCTTTTATTATTTACAAAGATTTTGGTGTGGGAACTGTTTCCAATTGGAATGTGGAGGGGAATTGAAACAGAATTAGGTTCCTTATTGATAAATTTAATCTTTCTATTACTTTGCATCATGTTATGTGGGAAGGAAACTCTTCTGCGGACTGATTGGCCAAGAGTGGAAAAGTTTTGGATAACGCTATTGTTGATGTTTTGCCTCCTCCTCAACTTAGGACGTTTTTATAGGGTGACTCTTTAGATTTGCCTTTTATCAGGAGATGATGGGTGTTGTTTCCATTTATTGTTCATTCCTTTGTGGCTTTTTTACTTTATGTGGTGGTGTCATTTTCTTTTTCAGTTTATTTGAGTATTTGATTATAACTTGGATGATTTGCTTAAGCACATCAAACGCCTGGAACCTTTGCCTTTATATATATATATATAAAGGCAAATCATCCAAGTTATAATCAAATACTCAAATAACCTGAAAAAGAAAATGACACCACCACATAAAGTAAAAAAGCCACAAAGGAATGAACAATAAATGGAACCTTTGCCTGGAACCTTTGCCTTATCCAGGCTTTTGATGTGCTTAAGCAAATCATCCAAGTTATAATCAAATACTCAAATAACCTGAAAAAGAAAATGACACCACCACATAAAGTAAAAAAGCCACAAAGGAATTAACAATAAATGGAACCTTTGCCTGGAACCTTTGCCTTATCCAGGCTTTTGATGTGCTTAAGCAAATCATCCAAGTTATAATCAAATACTCAAATAACCTGAAAAAGAAAATGACACCACCACATAAAGTAAAAAAGCCACAAAGGAATTAACAATAAATGGAACCTTTGCCTGGAACCTTTGCCTTATCCAGGCTTTTGATGTGCTTAAGCAAATCATCCAAGTTATAATCAAATACTCAAATAACCTGAAAAAGAAAATGACACCACCACATAAAGTAAAAAAGCCACAAAGGAATTAACAATAAATGGAACCTTTGCCTGGAACCTTTGCCTTATCCAGGCTTTTGATGTGCTTAAGCAAATCATCCAAGTTATAATCAAATACTCAAATAACCTGAAAAAGAAAATGACACCACCACATAAAGTAAAAAAGCCACAAAGGAATTAACAATAAATGGAACCTTTGCCTGGAACCTTTGCCTTATCCAGGCTTTTGATGTGTATATATATACATATGCGTGAGTGCGTGCGTGCGTGCGCAGGATTTCAGTTCTGAAGTCTGATGTAAGGAATCTGAAGGTTGTCTCCTTGTGTTAAGATTTGTAGAGGGAGAGGCAGAGTAGTTGAGACCACAGCATGGCTCAGATTTGAGCCTTCCAAAGCCAAGAAATTTGCTGGCCTGTTGGCTTCCCTATAATTGAACTTTACTTGGAAACTGCTCTCATTGATGGTCTTCTTAATTCTAGAGATCCACTTATTGATATGCCATGGGGGGGGGAGAGGTGGCAGTGATTAGCTCCACCAGATGAGAAGAGTCCACTTCAGCGGCGATTAGCTCCACCAGATGAGAAGAGTCCACTTCAGCAATAATGCAAACCCACTTAACTGCCTTGGCACATTTTAAGGCCCAATAAAGAGCAGTAGCTTCTGTTTCCAGAGCATCTTCTGCAATAAAGGGGGCCTTGAAATATAGCAAAATTTTGCCTGTGTGATCTCTGAATATACCTCCAATACCAGCTTTCTTATTTGTGAAGCTTCCATATGTATTAATTTTAATGAAAGGATAAGGGGGCTTCTCCCATCTGACCTTGATCACCATAGGATGTTGGGTGTCAATTTTAGTCATAGCCTTCAAAATCTGAGGGAACTTCTTCCCATTTATCAACTTGTGTAAATAGGCCTTGTAGTTTGCTGCCATAGAGACAGAAGGAGTCGCACTGTCCTCATGCTTCACCTTGTTCCTAGCATTCCAAATGAACCAAGCAACAATGAAAGGGAGGGACATCAGGTTGATTGCCTGCCAGTCTTTCAAGCTGCCTTTTAAATTTCCCCAGGCCACATTCAACAAATTCAGGTTGCTGTTAGAGATCAGGTCATTCCAAACCTCCCTAGCAAAATTACATCTGAAAAAAAGGTGATCACTTGATTCTTGATTGTTATTGCATAAGTGGCATCTTGAGGGGCCTTTTAATCCTTTCAGCTTCAATATGTCATCTGTTGGGATTA